TTTCTGTGCTTCTTGAATGTTGCTCATTTCACGCCATGTTCTTCTGTAGTTTCTGTTTTATGATATATCTTGTTTTTGAACTGTGCAGTTTCTACTGTGTGAGAGGACAAACATAATACAACCAATCCTGGGCAAGGAGAAAGAAACTCCTGCCATTCTTAAATGGAGTCTTGTGGAACTCCACACAAGATTCAACCAAATAAAGGACTTGAATGACATCGAGGTATGCAATTTATCGCATGTTCTACTTTAATGTATCTTGAATGTGAATCCATGCTAAATCATTCTCATTGTACAGGGTATTTTTAAAACTCCTAAAAAGCGAAAAACTACCAGGGAAGAGGAAGACACTGTTGACAAGGTAATTAAAATCTGTATACAGTGCATTGCAGTTTGTGTTTTCTACATTGCAGTTTGTATTTTATCCAATGCAGTTTTTGAATCATTCAATCTCATTGTACAGGGTATTTTGAAAGCATATAAAAGGAGAAAAACTACCAGAGAAGAGGGAGACCCTCTTGACAAGGTATAAGAATCTTTAAACAAAGAATTATGCATTGCGGTTTTCATTTCCTCCAATGCAGTGCAGTTTCTAATTAGTTTCCGTTCAATATGCAGAAAAAAGAAAAAGAAGATGAAGGACAACAAAGAGAAGCAGAGGAAGCAGAAGACCAAGGAAAACCTGATAATGCTGATCAAACTCCAGAATTAAAAGAGGATGGAAAGAAGAAAATGTTTGAGAATGAAGCTGGAAATGAACCTCTTGCAATTCAAGACCTCTTGGTGAAGTCCATGACAGACCAAATCAACTATCGCCAACGTCAAGATCCTACCTTCATTTGCCCAGAAAGATTACAACTGTGGAAGGATGAAATAAATGAAGACAGTGAGAAGAAAATGAAGGAATTGTGGGATATATTTATCCAAGGAGAAAAGAGATCAAAGGAGTTGGAAGCGAAGTTGGCAACATACGTAGAGAAATTAGATAATGAAGAATATTTGACTGCCACCATGACAGTGGAATCTACAGTTCAGCTTCAGGAAATACAAAATCTAAAAAGGAGGATTGCAGAATTGGAAGGCAAGGAAACTTGTATTGACAAGGAGAAGATTGCCAAGAAAAAGGAGATTGAAGAAAAGTACAAGGTAGAAATTGAAAGCTTGTTCTCAGACCCAACAGTCTTTGAAATGGAGATGGATCTGCCTACAACACAACCAACACAACCAGTTGAAGAGCAAGAAGAAGAAGAGGAAGAGAAAGAAGAAGACAAGAAAGAAGAAGAGAAGCAACAAGAAGAGAAAGAAGAAGAGAAGAAGCAAGATGCTCCAAAACCTGATGTTCCTTCAAGAGTACTAAGGCTGAAGAATAGAGAAAGAAAGAGGTTTCAAGCATCTTGCTATGTGTACGAAAAAAATAAGAAACCAAAAAAGAAGGCAAAAAAGGATGATGAAGAACTACCACAATTCAAGATTATCTCTTCCGAGGAGCAATCAACACAAGAGGATCCTCAAAATCAGAAGGTGGTATGCAATTACTGCAGTTCAAGCTGCTGCTTTTTCTGTTTTCTGCATTGCAGCAAATAGAAACTGCATTGCAGTTTCTGCTTTACAGAAACGGAAACTGCATTGCAGTTTCTG